AACTATGGTTTAATTTATAAGAAAAAAAACCTCCATAAAAGCACAACCTCTTTAAAAACACATTTTTAAAAAAATTTACTATGTGCCCAACTGTGTGATTGTATAGGAGGACAACTGTATTGTTTTTATTAGTTGTATCATATTCTATATAGTAATTGATATTATATAATTTATTATATAATCTACTGTATAAAGCCTAATGATTTTGTAAAATTTGATTGGCTGATCTTAAAAAAAGATCTACGATGATCTACAAAAATTAGCCAATCAAACTGCAATACTTGGTGATCTACTATTGGCTAATAGTCAGTTATTTTTGTAGTTAATACTTTATTAGTAAACCCATAGCCACGCCGATGATCGGCTTCAAAGTCTTAGCCAAGCTATTTTTGGAGCCGATACCTTATTAGTAGACCCATAGCCGAACCGATGATCAGCTCGGCTTAGCCATTCGGCTTGCGGCTCGGCTCTAGCCGTTCGCATCAACTAATTTTTGACTGAAGTAAATCGCAAAAATTTTACATAGCGCGCCTATCATATTGTGCTGCACCATGATAGTAAATCATTTAGAGTGGACTGTAATATCCGATGAGCATAAATGCGCATATGGGCTGTATATTTTTCGACATCATATGTGCACATATCTATGTCAATGAACGTCTTTATAACAAAGCTGTAAGAAATTAAAATTAGATTAGTATGGTAAGTGTTAACTCTCGGCTTGGAAAAACTTTTTTCCAAAATATCCACATCGTTATAAAGAAAGGTGACGTAATTCAGAAGAAATTTGAATTTGGACTGGAATATGCGATATGCATATATGTCATAGTACGTATTCATATTTTTTTCGTACATATTTTCAACGTACATATATGTTCAGCGGTACACAAGCGAATATTTTTACGAAACTTTTTTAGGTGATATTATGGTGAAACTAGTTTTCGATTAATTATAATAAAGCAAAATTGAAAATTTATCGTTTTCTAAGCTGATACATTCGAATTTAAGGCTTTTTCTGTATTACGTAAACTTTATTACGATGTGGATGTTTAGAAAAAAGATTAAACTTAGTTTTTTACAGCTTGCTATAAAGACGGTCATACGTACACATATAATGTCGAGATACATGACCCATAATACACATATATATACATTTCCTACATTGCAAGATTATTTCTAATAAAAAGTTGATCCCAAATGTTTATAAAAGTTATGCATCTAAAAAATAGATTGATAAAATTTTATAAGACTTTGGTTATCTGTTGTTCGAGATCAAAATTTATTATAAAAAAATAATGTATTTCTTCGTGTCGTGTAACAATATAATATTTTCAATACGTAGAAATACCACCAAAACAAACAGTTGATTTTTTATCGCTTGATATTGTTCAACACTACGTGACACTAAATTTATCGGCATTCGGCATGGCTGGTCGATCCATCAAATACCACAACATAGATGCGAACAATTACATACATTTAGTAAACTCCGAATTATTCTATATACTCTAGATCGCCATTTTAAATTAAATTAATGATGTAACCGACAAGAAATCTTAGTATTTAATTTTGTAATTTAAAAATCTTTCATTTAGCGCAGAGGTAAATTTCAGATTTTAGCGGTAATTTTGTAGAGTTGAACAAATATGGAATTTGTATCTACATTGAGATGATCTTTTAAGGACTTGCACCATATTAAGTTGGACAAGAACACAAATTGATTAGATTAAATAACTTTATTTGGTGACAATAGATCTAATTTATTGAATTATTAAATAGATCTGATGTAATTATGTTATACCAAGACCGCGTTTAAAAATAAATATAAATAGATATATTTTTTAAAGTTCTTTTTTTTTCATCATTCAAACAATTCAAACAATTCAAACAATTCAAACAATTCAAACAATTCAAACAAATGGGTAAGTAATTTTATTTCCTTTAGATTTAACTCTTTGAATTCGGTCGTAAAAATTAATATTTCATGATCACTATATTATTCAAAGTTAGAATACTTTTAAAAGGAAACGTTAAGGCACATATTACGGATTGGTTTAAAAGTTTTCAATCATTAAAAAATGCCGGTATCGAGAGACAAACTGATGCAGTATCTAAAAAATTGACCTCATCGAATTCTGCAGAAATTTTATTACCAAGATTACAGCATAAGGATTCCCAAAATCAAAAGACAGAAAGCGTTATATCTCGACATTCTCCAATCACATCATATCATCCACCACACCATTCCATATTAAAACCTAAACCTATAGTAAATGCTAATTTTTCGGATATTACCAGATCGTTTAAAGATCTAGAGAATGGTCTTTTAGACGTGTTTAATAACAATAAACAATGGGCAAATTCAGTGCGACTACAAGACTCAGGGTTCTTTAAAAATTTAGCAAATGGACAAGAGCCAAAATTATTTTGGATCGGTAAATAACATTATCATCCCTCAGACTCCCTGAATTGGCTTATTTTAAGACTTTGTGATCATACTTTGTCATCTAACTTAACACATAATTTTTTATGCGCTACCATCAGGATGTTCAGATTCTCGTGTACCGGCAGAAATTATCACCAAATTGGGATTTGGGGAAATATTTGTGCACAGAAATATCGCAAATCAGTTTAAAGAAGATGATACTAATTGTTTGTCTGAATTAGAATTTGCAGTGCATAATTTAAAAGTTGAACATATTATAGTCTGTGGTAAGTCTTATTTATTTCATTCATTCATTCATTCATGAAATATTATTAATTCAATAACATTCATCATAATACGTAATAGGTCATACTAATTGTGGAGGTATCCAAAATGCCTGTAATGACCATCTTCATAAATATTTAAAAATTTGGTTATCTGACATACGTAAAATCAAAGATTCACAACCTGAACTTTTTCCTGATCAGATTACTGAATCAAAAATGAGCCAAAGTGAAATAAAACTCATTCATAAAAAATTAGTAGGTGTTAACGTAATTAATCAAGTAAATAAAATTTCTGAAAATATTATTGTTAAAGAAGCGTGGAAAGATGAAAAGCGAAAATTGGCTGTTCATGGATGGATTTTTAATTTGGAGACTGGACATTTGGAAGATTTAGGTGTTACTAGAAAAAAGTGATTTTAATATGTTTATGTAATTTCGTATTTTAATTAAGAATATATATATAACTTATATATATCAGATATAATGTATTTCAAAATTTAAAAAAAAAATAAACTTATGATCTAACTTATCTAGCTTCGTGCTACATTAATAATAATCATATGATATACGTATCTGGTATATATACTAGACATCTGCTTCTAAATTGCAGAGGAAAATCGCGTAGTTTATCATAAAAAAAATGTCGGGTAAAAATCATTTTCGTGTACATATTCCTTTTCCCTATTTAGATTCAGTAAGAGAAAAAAATCGCCAGAATAGTAAAAAAAGGAGACAAGTTAAAGCTACTTACTTGATCTTACTATCAGACCCGTATTGAAAACCAAGTGCACCGCAGATACGTTCAATTGGAAGACCCATATGTGGATCACCGTTCTTGACAACAAAGTCACGTATCTCTGTATGTAAAGGGTCTGATAAAACATGAGAATTACCGACATAACTGTTGTTGTTATCGACTGTTGAACTTTGTTGCTAAAAAAAATCCGAATGAAAATTAGCGTATAAAAAACTGGTTGAATGAAAAAAAAAAAATAGGAAATAACATACAAAACCAGCGCCACTATCAGAACGAATTAAGGATAGATGTTCATAAACTACTTCGCATAGATGACAGCTAATTTCATTGTAATCTTCGACTACTCGAAGACCGTATGGTATGCAATTTAAAAAATGTTTTCCCTTGAAATTTTTTAGATTACCATATGTACAAACATAAGAATCGATTCTAAATGTAGTAAAATAAGAATAATTTTAGAGAATCAAGTATAATTTAAAAATAAAAATATTTTAAATGATTACTGGATTTTATAAGCAGCCGAATTTTCTTTTTTTTCTTCAGATTCAAACCAAATCTTTGCATCCATAAAACCGGTACCATCGTCAATTTTATATTCAATAACATTCGAACTTGATACATTCATATCTCTAACTGTGCCAATAATGCATACCTTTGTAACGATAAAAATATATATATAAATTTGATCAAAATTTATAAATACCAATTATTTTTTTATAAAATACATACAATATCAATTTTATGACCATCGATCAGATATTCTGAATCGGAATGTTGAGTAGCAGCATTGAGAAGTTGCTTAATGGTTACGTGGCGAACGCTTCTTTTTCGATCACTGGAG